ATATGTGCACAACTGCGGCCTCGGGCCTAAGTATACGTATACATAACTGCGGCCTCAGGACCAAACTGCGGCCTCAAGCCCAAAGATGCATAAAGCATTAACTGCAGCCTCAGGCCCAAATACAGGTGTTCGACATTCAGGGATTTAAAATTAGGAACTAAGAATCATACTGCAATACATGATTAGTGAAATACTGAATCACACTGAGTTACATGATATTGGAATAGTGGATCACACTGAGTTACATAATACTAAAATACTGAATAGGACTAGACTGAGACATGTATTCTTGAACTGATTATGAACACTGAAACTTCAACTGTTATGGAATACTGAGTAATCTATACTAAGACTCGGGGGCATCAAACCCAAGTCTATATTGAATACGCACTGAGCTCGCAACGTTAAGAATGAAAGTCATGAACGAGTTATGAAGTTAGAGAATAGAAGTTCTACAACAATTCAAGGAACTAGGCTAAACTATATCTCTGAGGCAATTAGTAACATCGTAAAAGAAACGTAATGTAGGGAGAATCATTAACATTCCCAAACATAGAGAGTTAGCCTCACATACCTCAATTTCGCTCCTTAGTGATACTACAATGATCCACAATACTAAGAACCTTCAATCTACAATAGCAACATCCAATGGAACCAATGTTAGTAACAAATTCCATAACTTAAGCCATTTAGGCATATTATCAAATACCTTGTAGGCAAAATCTCTACATCTCATCACCATATAATTAATTTATCTTACTACTACCATTCACCAACAATGTATCCCACCATCATGATTAACCAATTTATAACTTCCAAAATCACATATATAACTATCCATCCACACCTAACCAACAAAATCCCATTAAATAAATATCTTTCAATCTCTATAATAGTTGTGTAATTAAATAGGGAACTTATGGTTTCCAATCACCATACCAAGAGTTCCAATATATATTAATACTCATATTCCCTTAATAAATCCATAAATATAAGTCTAAGGGTGTAGGATTACCTTTTTGGAAGAAATCTTGCAAAACCCTCCTTTGAGTTCTTGAAGGAATCCCTTGAAGATCTAAGTATTTTATGTGTAGATTTCATCAATACTAGAGTATAAATGACGGAATTCACACCAAGATAATGGGGATTTCTTACCTTGAAGATGGGAGGGGTTGGAGGTCTTGAGAGAGTGGAAGAAAACCCTAAAATTTGTCCAAATGAAGTGGGGAAAATAACCCCCGAAGGTTTTATATCAAAATAGGGTCGGGTTGAAAAAAATGAAGATTTGCACAGCCGCGGCACATGAGGAAATGAATGGGGTGGCACAGTAATGAAAAATGTGTCTAGAAACGAACTTTGGAGGTGCTCTATTAATCTACACAGCCGCGCCGCATGGTGCGGCGCGGTAGTGTAAAATTCTGCTAGCTTTTGGTAATTTGGTCATAACTTCTGGTAGGAGTGTCCAAATGACAAACAGTCTAAAGCGTTAGAAAATAGACTCCAAGATCTTTCATTTGATAGGTTGAGCATTATATAACACCTTATATAAATCTAGATATTCTCGTCCAAAGTTTGGTCTTGTGCGTGCTCATTTGGAATTTTAGTCTATCATGTAATTTTCTAACTTGGCTTAGACTTAGGTCTTTCCTTGGACCCCAAATCACTTATGATATGCCTCGTACACTTATTATCATAACCAATTGATAACCATCACATTAATATTCATTTAATGCATCCACAACTGATTCAAATTTATGGGGTGTTACATTATCTCCTCCTTGGGATCATTCGTCCTCGAATGATTGTCCTGACTGTATCTTCGGCTAACTCCGGACCTTAAATGGGTCTGGTGGGAACATGAACTTTCATCAACACTTGTATACTAAACTGAATGAATATACGATTATTGAACTGATGAGATACTGAACTGAATAGGTACTAGACTGAATGACTACTAAACTGACTTAACACTGAAAGATATGGAGATTGTAATATAAGGTCTGAATGAGAAAGTTAGATACCTTCAACATTTCTCCAAAATACCTACCAGCTAACAGAGCATAACACAAGTCTCATAGGGCATCATAATATGCATAACACAAGCCACAACTGATTCAAATTTATGGGGTGTTACATGGGAAGTCATTGTTTAAATTCATATTAATTGTGAGTTTGTAAAAGTGTTTGCTATTAGTAAAAAAGATATGCATGATTATTGTGACGTTTGTGATCAAATACTCTTTCATGAACCTATCTATGATTCTTTTTGTAACGGTTTTGAGCAATTGTTTAGAATCCATTGATGTTATGAATATTATTAGGGAGAGTTATAATCATGAGCTTGAATATAATGAAACTTTATATTTGGGATTTATGAGTTCTTCTAACATTCTTAAGAATTTATGTACTTCTTTGAATAACTTACATGTAGAGAAATCCATGAGATTTTTAATTGTAGATACTTGGATATATCATAAAAGTGTCTTATTTGATACATGTGACAGAGATACTTGTATTAAATGGATGCACGGTCAATCTTTTATAATTTTTTTGTCATGCATATAAGTACTACCTTATTGACAAGTTCGAATTGAAAGTTTCATTACAGAGTGCATCTAAGAGAGGGTTTTATTGTACTAATCTAAGTAGGCATAAATTTTATTGGGATGATAATGTCCATATGCTTTATAATGGAGTATTTACACCTATTAGGCTTAATTGGATTAAGTGGGCATATATAATCATTATCTTGTTTTGTTCCTACCTTTTTTTCTCTTCAGATTAGTGGATGTCATTTACTAGTGCGCCTCTTATTTTTATTGTAAGGTCGAAATTTGTGGACGAATTTCTTCAATAAGAGGCTAATGATAGTTTCCTAGGAAGCTCAACTCTATTCAAGGACAAGGATGAAGCTTTGGAATCTCAAGGAGGGCCTTGAACAAGATCTCAAGCTAAAGAGTTTCAAAACAAGGTCATTAGATTTCAAATGCAAATAAAGAAGTTGTCAATTGGGAGGAAGAACTCAAGGATAAAGGATATGAATTGGTTGGGTGTTACAATTATTTGATGTCCAAAATTTATATCCAAGAAGAGGAGGATTGGATCCCAAGACATCCTTTGAAGGTCGTAATCAGTCCACTTTTGGACCCATTTGGCACTTAATATGTGTTCAAACTTGTAGGCCAATAAGTCTTACATGAAGTCATATTTTTATAACATAAAAAGGAGTTACTTGCTGCCCAAGAAGGCTTCAATAGGTGTACTAGAAGTTGAGTGCAAGTTGCCTTTAAGATTTTAAAAATATTATCCAAGATTGATTTGGGACTTTCAAGATCCTATCCTAGATTGGTTTTAACTTATTTCCATATATTTTGGTACTAGATTTATTGCTTTCCTGGGTAGTTAAGGTTATGTTTTCATTTTTCTAAGATTGTTTGAGTTACTTTCCAAGATTGACTTAGTTTTTATTTCCTAGTGTTTTTCCTTTTCCTAAGGTAGTTGGACGACTTGTTATCCAAAATAGTTTAGGACTATATTTTATTAGTTTTTAGGCTCAATTTCGTGACCCCTTATCTATATAAAGGGGTGTCTTTTGTGTTTTTAGACTTAGATTGTTGCAGACTATTATCAATAAAAATTGTGAGATTTTTCTTGCACTCTTGTGTGTGGCTACTATTGGATTTATTCTTCAACCTTCAAGACTCAATTTAGGGTGGTAAGATGAATTCTTCAAAATCTTAGATTACTTCTAGGTATTCAAGAAAGGTGATAGGTTTAGGTTTATTGTTGTTCTTGATATTCTAAAGGATCAGGTTTCACAATCTATCTTTTGTTTTTAATTCTCTACCAAAGATAATTAATTCTTTGTTAGCTAATTGTTGTTGTTAGGATTCAACTTCAAGAATAGATTTCTTGAATTCAAGAAACTTTTTTTTGAATTCAACCTATCTTTGATTTTTGCCTTCTTTTTCATTTCTCTACTTTCTTTTAGATTCCGCATATTTCTTGATTTTTTTAGTAAAGTGTTGTTATCAATTCTAAAGGGCTATTTATATGCCGTTAGAACCATTGTAAAGCATCTAGAAGTCAATACAAATTCTATCCTTAAGGGTTTTTTTTTTCCTGTAAACACTTGTTTCTTTTTTGTGTAGGTTTTACCATGAGCAAGCTTTATCTGATAGACTATTCATAAAATAGTCTTTATGTTCACTTGATTGTTTTTCGTGTTTGCTCATCCTACATCAGAAAAGTATTTACTTCCATGATTTTAATTTATCTAGCATTATCACAATTCATATTTATTTTATGTAATTTTTAAATAGCTAAATCTTATATTTAAGAAATTAAGAATTTATGTTTGAAATCATGATCTTGTATTCAAATTGTAAAATGGCCAGTCACTCATTTTCTTGTTAAATGTTCAAAAATCCTAATACTAACAATTTGACGACTGGAAAAATATATTAACTTTGATAACGTACGAAACTACGTACACACCTCTTCAAATAACAAACCTACAAAATCCGCAAAAACAAACAAAATATAAATTTAAATACAACACCACTATAACATTAATTCCTATTCACATAAAAACAGGAATAAAAGACTCCATCCGTTTCGATTCACATAACACGCTTAGCTTATAGTTTGTTCAAAAAAAGAATGACACATTTTATCTTTAGGAATTATTTAATTTTAAAGTTTTATTTTGTTTCATTTTATACTTAATGAGTAGCTTTTATAGCCACATAAATATTACGCCCCTATTAAACTTTTACTTTTAAATAAGTTTAAAAGTATTTTTAAAACTTTATATCGAATCACAAAAATTAAACCAAGAAATGATTAATACAAAGAATGAACATCTTTTCTTATAACATATGAAATATAGTTAATACAAAGAATCTACAAGTTGCAAATTTAAACATAAGGATGTCACGCGTTTTATCACTTACTTTTGGGTTTTATAACGACGTATGCGCTAGAGGTTAAGTTTTCGGATTTCATATGAAAGTTTGAAACTGCACTTACCCCTAAACATTAGAAACTATTTTTGTGTAATTGTTCCTCCAACGAGAACGATTTTCAAGTCGAAAAGCGCCATTTCTCACCGGAGTTCTTTTTCTGGTTTCTCAGTTTCTTCCTCCAACTGAAAGAACAAGAGGAGCAGGACCTCGTTGCAAGATTTGATTTCAGCAGCTCAGTCCACGGCGAACGCCATGCACGCTCTGATTCGCCAATCCGCCGCTCATGTACGAGCCAATTCCCACTTCATTCACATTTCAACATCTAAAGCTCCGTCAATCAAAGAAACGGGCCTCTACGGCTACCATCATTTGAAAACTCCTAAAGGCTTTCAACGATTCGTCGACGATGCTATTGAGAGGTAAGTGTTTAACAAACAGGTCGCAAATTCTTTACTTTTGCTCGGTGAATGTCAACTGCTTCGTTTGTCTCTTGTGAAAGCAATTGCCATATTTCAGGAATGAGTTTCTATATCATGTCGTCCACGTGTTTGATAAAAAAATTTCACATGCTTATTAGGTCAGAAGAACTTGTGAACTATATAGCTGGCATGCCTTCATCTCCTGAAATTATCCGAGCAATGGATGAGATTTCTGATACTGTAAGTTTGTGTTTTATGGTCTAATTCTGCTTTTGTTCAAAGAACACAAGTAGTTGGACTCGCACAGGTGAAACTTGCTTAAAACGCCAGGCCATAACTGACCTATTTGATTTGATAGGTGTGCTCAGTAATTGATTCAGCTGAATTGTGCAGACATACTCATCCAGACAGGTGGTGAACTAGGATTGAGATAATCTATGTATCCATATCTACAGTTTCCGATCTTATTTTTGTTTGCTTTGAGTACTTACATAGAAATGTCGCATTTTAGGGAGTTTGTTGACGAGGCAAGCAAGGCAGGCTTACGGATAAATGAGTTTTTACATGTAAGATTTCTGATATATTATTTGGTTTGTTAGTTATGTTTTTCGCTTTGCTGATTATGTCAACATTTAAAATAAATGCTGCTTATCTTATCAGCTGCATAATTTTGTACCACCCAAGAGCTATAAGCCCATAACCAATGCTTATGCGGGAAAGTAAAACCTGGAGATCTACTTTAGACAGATAAGATAAGAAATTTAAAATGTCATTACTTGTGTTTACACTGACAGTTGTGTTGGACTAAATTGCTTCAATTTTAGTTAGTGATGTCAGAGAATAAATAGTTAAAGTAATTTGATAGTAAATAAGATAATAGGATTATTAGGATATATCTCACTCGACTGTCTCATTCGGTGTATGGTACTTGGTACACTTTGTGATCTTTGTCCCTTCTCACACTTGATGGTCGCGAACAATCAGAATTAAACTTTAGTAGACTCATGTGTTAGAGCACTTGTCCCTCATCCGTTGTGTACGAGTTTCCAAAGGGGTTTAAATGGTCGTGGGCTACTCTACCCATTGCCTAAGCCTTAAGGTTTTGGGTTGGTTGCTGAGATTCTTTCACATGGTATCAGAGCTAAACTTTGGTAAGCCTGTTTGCACAACCGTCTTCTCTCTATCATATTGTAATGCTCAAGGCTTCTCTCTCAACTCAGCTCAAAAAAACAAAATCCATATGTAAACCCTAGAAAGAGGTTACACGTGTGGGAGGGTGTTAGAGCACTTGTCCCTCATCGGTTGTGTACTGAGTTCCAAAGGGGTTTAAACTTTAGACGATCCTGCACTACTCCACCCATTCTCTTAATTTTTGGGTTTAGATGCTCCAATCCTTTCATATCCTGAAGTTTGAGGTAATCTGGATTCGCTTATTCGTGGTATAGTAATCTATTCACATCCAGTAAGCATCATTATGATATATTGGCTAAATTTCAAGTGAAGTTTCTCTAACTCCTTATAGGTGGTATTGCGCGAATTGTCCTTTGCAAACACAATGAAACTGTAAAGATAACATGTCCTTGCCAAATTAGCAACAACAACCATGAATCGAAGAATTAGATTAATATCGAGTGGAAAAAGAAGGTAAAAGTAAACCCCGTGATGTAGAAACAATTTCTAATCAAAACTGTCTCCAATTTGGCAATGTTCACAAGATTGATGAAAGACGTTTGGAAGGATAGTCATATAGTCTGGAAATGTACTTGCCGCTACTGGATTTGCTTTTTGATGCAGTTGCTTTGGAAGATTCTCCATTGCAATTGGTTTATTGACTCTTTTGCTCCTTGGCATGCAGTACCTTAATACAAACCATAGTATATACAAGGCGGTGATAAAAGCAGAAAAAGACAGCTCACTCACTCATGAAGCTCAGAGGGCAGCCCGCTTTCTACGAATGGACTTGGAAAAGGGGGGAATCCATCTTTGCCCTGGTACTTGACTTCTTACAACTGCTGTCTTTCCTGGTAAATCATTATTGTTGCACTAATTTAGGTACCTTGGTTGGCTTCACAGAAAAACTTGATCGAGCTAATGAGCTATCCATTGACATTATTCAGTTGTGTAGAGAGTAAGTGAAAACCATCTCCTTGTTAGTGTTCCTGGGATTTATTAATTTATTGATGTTTCATGTTTTCTATAATTTTAATGTTGTTAAAAGAGATCACATGATTCTTGTAAGTGTAGGAGTTGATTTTGTACTTGAAATGGGATTTACCAACTATTTCATGTCCTATTGTGTAACTGTTAGATCCATATCAGGTTGCTATTTGAATCATGACTATAAGTTGGATCAAGTTTACTGGAGATAGAAAGTGACTATTTTCTTCTTTAGCAATTATGCTTTTCTAACTTTAGTTAATTTCTTGGGTGTTTATCAAATTTGCTCATGTTCTTTAGGGAAAAGAACTATATTCAGTTCTTTTTTGATGAAGAGAACTACATTCAGTTCTTAACAAGTTCGTAGTTGAGTTTAAATGAGCACCCATATAGCAAATGCAATTTTTTTTCCGAGATGATTTACTGAATTAGTATCTCTTTCCATCGTCGTGAGCCGAGGTGTATCGGAAATAGCTTCTCTACTCCTCCGGAGTAGGGGTAAGGTCTGCGTACACACTACCCTCCCCAAACCCCACTTGTGGGATTCCACTGAGTGGTTGTTGTTGTTGTAGTATCTGAAGAAGTGCTTTTGTGTGTGACTGGGATTCGTTTTGTTTCTTTCTTTTTAATTAATGTTTTATTCAATTTGCTTGTAAGAGCCTGTTTATTTCAGGCTGAATTTGTGCTTAAACTTGCATAACATAAGTAGAATAGATGGATGAGTGTTCGGCACTTTTCTTGTCAATTATGAATACTCTAGTAACAGTGTAACACCTGATCTGGCGGGCCTCTAGCTGGTGCACGTTTAAATGGAGTCCATGCATTCCTCCCCCATTTCCTCTTCCTTTAGGAGAGTCCAAAATTTTCTCTCTGATCATTGTAAGTCGTATGCAGTTATGGGACCTTACATATAGTTCTTGGAATCTCACCTATGGGTCGTCTACAAATTTTCTCGAGATGGGACTTGACTTTAGTCAGTTTTTAGTTGCACTTTGACCGTTTGTTATTGCATAATATATTAAATTGCCTTCAATGTTTCTAGTTGTGCTGCGTGCAGGCTTGTATAATTGGACTAATGCTCATCTTTTTCCTTTTTTGTCAGGTATAATACAAATATTATTACTGACCCTGGCCATGTGGATATATTTCCAGCCTCTAAGATCCCTAAAAAAATGCACCATTTTGTCAGCCCTATCTATCGTAACATACCAGGTGCATCTAAGGAATCTCTGGGGTCAAGAGATAGCATAAAAGAAAAAGGATTCCGCATAGCAACTGAGCCAAGTACTCTGCAAGGCTTTCTTCAATGTTTACCTGATGCTGGGGTAACTTTGATCAGCCTCTATGTGCTGTTAGTTATAACTTAATGCTGCTCAGAAATTTTGCGTTGCTTTTCAGAATAATCAATTATTATGCATATTGTATCAGTAGTGCAACTTCTTCCCTGTTCACTCTTCCTCCTAGTGTTGGGAAACTAAAGCATTAGCAGTTCAAGGTAAACCTCTAACATTGACACCGGTAAGCATAGATGAGAGTGCAGGCCTAGCAAACGTAATATCTACTCCAATCATTTTAGTGGGTTATATATGGGAGGTTTTGAATGCTGATTTTAGGGTATAGGGTTTGGGAAAGGAAAAGAGAAGACCGCCAAAGAAAAGAAAACAAATGATTCTAGCATCTCTTTATGAATTGTACATCATTTTTTGGACTTGACAAATTGGAGAACAGAAATGAAGTGGATAATCCTTTCCTTCTTAGTAGCAGGGATGTGTGGGTGTCTTTATGAATCAGGAGTTCTTTCCCTCTGTTTCTGCACAGTACAATACCTTGTTATTTGTTTCCTAGAAGCACCTTCCTATCTCCAAAAGATTCCATCTAAATCTCTCCCTAGACTTTCACAAGTCAAGAAGAGACTTAAACATTTATATCCGTCTCAAGTGTCTTTACCTTGGCTTATTTGTTGTCTTCATGAGGCTTCATTCAACTATTGACGGGAAAAAGAGTAGAGCTTTTAATGTTTAATGACTGAATTATTCATGATCTTGTCCAGGTCAGGAAGATGGCATATGTCCAAGGAAATTCTGTTCCACATGCAAACCTTGAGGTTCTTGATAAGCTTATCGCAACAAGACATGAGTTTGCTCAGGTTATTATGTTAACACTTTTGGTCTAGCAAAGAATTTGATTTTTGTTGAATTGTCTGTCATTCTCTTCAAAAAGCTTAAACTATTAGAGAAGGGGCACTTCTAATTAATTACTTTCTTCTGCAATACTCCTCATGATTTTATTCTTTGGTCCAAGCATGTGGAAATGCTCTTCCAGTACTTCTTTTACTGATATAATTTAATACTCTCATAAAATAATCTATATAATAACATCAATTCTAGTGCAACTAGACTAGGTGTTTTCTTAAGAATGCCATAAGCTAATTCTGTATGTTTAGCTGCTTCTTCAAGTTGATTGGTGAGAGTTCCTCTTTCTTTGTAGTAGTATTAATGTCTTGACATAAGACACTGTTGTAAAAGCAGCGGAATGTATATATTCCTAATTTGATAGGTGTGTCCCAATTCATTCACCCATTTTGACTGGCTATATTAAGAGAAGAGTTGAGAATATGAGTTGCTTAATATATTTGATCTTTTAGAAAACATATGGGGCCATATATTGATTCTCATGTTGTTAATGTTATAGAATAGTGAAAATAGTGAAGTTGCATTGAGAAGATTCTTGTAACACTTTTTATATTGTACAAACATATTCCGGGTTCCTAATTAAGGAAAGCCTGCAACATTTTGTGACAATCCAAATAAGAAAATTGTCACGACCCAAAATTTACCGTCGTGATGGCGCCTATCGAGGAACTAGGCCAACGTCAACTCAACGACCCAACACCAATAACAATAAGTTTGAAAACATTAACGGAAGCATTTAACAATTAAAGAAAAACTGTTTGAAACATAAGAAAAATTCCAAAGTGATACAATTCAGCCCAAAACCACGGTGTCACTGAGTACATAAGCGTCTAGATCAGGAAAAGTCTACTACAGTGTCTAAAGATATAAACTGAAAGTACGACAAAGATAAAGAAGGAGAGTCAAGGCCCGCGAACGCCATGCAGCTACCTCGATAATCTCCAAACTTTGGAACCTCGATCAGCAACCGCCGCTACGACCGATATCGCCTGGATCTGCACACGAGGTGCAGAGGGGTAACGTGAGTACACCAACTCAGTAAGTAACAAGTCCAAACTTTAGACTGAAAGGTAGTGACGAACTCAACCTTAACAGGTATAACAGAAATAAGTGTGTAGAAACGTAGGCATGCTTTCAAGTCAAATATACAGCTCAAAACAGTAGAGGAAATACATATCTGAATAGTTTAAGGTATACAACTCAGCTATCTCTACATGCCAATGCACAGACTATATGAAATGCACCATGTGTTCTCACTCTCAAGTGCTCAACCACTCGATACTGTATATGGCCATCCAGCCCAGGGAAATCCATCCCGGAACATATAAAACACTGACAATAAGTCACCTAGTACCGAGGAAAAAAGGGCAATCCAACCCTGTGGAGAAATCCATCTCCAGGTATCAAGTACTTCGGACAAATCCATATCCAGGGAAATCCATCCCTAAATAATATCATCCGCGCTCACTGGGGGTGTGTTACAAACTCCGAAGGGGCTCCTGCAGCCCAAGCGTTCTCCTAATCATCAATATAACCGCTGCGGCGTACAACCCGATCCCATAACTGTCACTCATAACCAGGCTCTTAGCCTTACGCAGTCATCAACCTCTCCAGTCTCACCACGGGCTCACAATGTCATGAAAACAACCCGGAACAATGATATGATGAATCAATAAATAACTGAGACTGAGATATGATATAAAAATGAATGATCATGACTGAGTATGGAATATTAAATGAAAACTAGTGAGATGACAGCAAGAAACGACCACTAAGGGTCCAAACAATACCGGCACAAAGCCTAAACATGATATCTAGCATGATTTACCGCTCAACTATTTTATCACATGATGAAAACATGGATATCAACAGGATAGAGTCACTAAACAGTGCCATAAAATCACCCAGGTTACAATTCTCACGGTGCACGCTCGCACGCCCGTCACTTGGCATGTGCGTCACCTCAATACCAATCACATAACACATAACTTGGGGTTTCGAACCCTCAGAACCAAGTTTGGAAGCGTTACTTACCTCAAACCCAGCAAAATTCTACTCTGCGATGCTTTTGCCTCTCAAATTGGCCTCCAAACGTCCCGAATCTAGCCACAAGCAATACAATACGATCAATATAGGTTAAAGGGATCAATTCCACAAGAAAACTACCAAAAATAGAGTCAAAATTGTGCCCATGTCTCGAAATCCGTCAAGAGTCACAAAACCCGAAAGCTCATTCACTCACGAGTCTAACCATACCAAATTTATCAAAATCCGACCTCATTTGGTCATTTAAATCCCCAAAATCCACTCTCCAATTCTCAAGCCCTAAACCCCCAAATTTCTAGCTCAAATCCTTAATTAGATGATGAATAAGGCCGTGGATTCACGAAATTTAGACCATTACAGGTTTGAATTACTTACCCCAACGTTTTCCCTTGAAATTCCTTGAAAAATCGCCTCTCTCTCGAGCTTCACAAATCCAAAAAATCGAAAAAATGGAAGTCCAAAAGTCGAGCTAGGCTTTTTCTGCCCAGCAATACCGCACCTGCGGTCCATTGGTCGCTTCTGCGACGCCGCACCTGCGAAAAATCCATCGCAAGTGCGGATTTCACTTAAAATCCAAGACTCCGCTCCTGCGGCCCCACAACCGCATCTGCGCCTATCGCAGGTGCGGAAATCCATCGCACCTGCGGCTCCCTCTCGCACCTGCGCCCAGTTGCCCGCATCTGCGACTCTCGCAGGTGCCAGAAAATCTTTGCACCTGCGATCCTCCCCAAATCTCTCTTGGCCGCATCTGCGGCACCTCCTTCGCTTTTGCGGACACGCACCTGCGGTTACCCCTCCGCAGGTGCGATAACACCAGCAACAACAGCACTTAAGCTGCTCTTTCTACTCCAAAATCAAGCCGTCAACCACCCGAAATCACCCCGAGGCCCTCGGGACCACAACCAACCACACCAACAGGTCCTATAGCATCATACGAACTTAGTCGAACCTTCGAATCACTCAAATCAACATCAAAACACGAAATTACCCCCGGATTCAAGCCTAAGAGCTTCTAAACTTTCAAATTCCGCAAACGACGCTGAAACCTATCAAACCACCTCCGAATGACCTCAAATTTTGCACACAAGTCAGAAATGACACCACGAACCTACTCCAACTCCCGGAAATCCAATCCAACACTGATATCAAAATTTCCACTGCCGGCCGAAATCGCTAAAATTTCAACTTTCACCAATTCAAGCCAAATTCTACCACGGACCTCCAAACCACATTCCAGACGCGCTCCTTAGTCCAAAATCACCTAACGGAGCTAACGGAACCATCAAAATTCAAATCCGAGACCGTTTACACATAAGTCAACATCCGGTCAACTTTTCCAACTTAAGCTTTCAATTAAGAGACTATGTGTCTCAATACACTCCGAAACCACTCCGAACCCGAACCAACTAATCCGGTATATCATAATATAGCTGAAGAACACAAAAGAAACAGGAAATGGGGGAACGGGGCTATAACTCTCGAAACGACCGGCCGGGTCGTTACAGTAATATAACTATTTTCAGGATGGAGATTGTGACTCGTGATTAGTATATGCTTAATCTGAATATTCCTGATTTGGTCAATCATTATTCAGTACTTTTTCTCCTTGATTCTCTTTATTTCACTATTACTTCCACTTGTTCATTTATCAAAGATATTAGATTCTTCACTAATCATCTATTTTGGTCAATACTGATATGCTTTATCCTGTTAACTTGCAGCTTATGGGTTATAAATCTTATGCTGAATTTTCTCTACATTCGACTATGGCTGCATCTCCTGAAGTGGTCTTATCCTTTTTGCTTGAGATGAGCAAAGTGGTCAGACCAAAGGCTGATCAGGTATGTTCCGGGAGTAGATTTTACTTATATGAATGAGACACTGCTTGTATTGCTCTGCGAGGGCTGATTCAAGCTCTTGAAAATGTTGATGCTTTAAATAGGAGTTTGAGGCAATTCGGGATTTCAAGAGAGAGAAAAGTGGTGAGCCTAATGGAGAGTTGGAGCCATGGGATGAGGCATACTTCACATGGTTGATGAAGTCTGCAACATACAAGTTGGACTCCTCGGTAACCAGCGAAGCCTAATTTATTTTTCTATTATCTTATCAAGGTGTACCAATGCTCTTTCTTACTCTACATTCTATTTTTAGTGTCTCCATAGATAGATGAGAACGTATAAAATATATGCTGATAACTCATCAGGGATACAAAGTGATTGATTAAATTGAACTAAAAATGGAAAAAGACATGTTTTCCCAGGCATTGAGAGGTCAGGGTTCTCCTGGAACTTAAAGCATTGAGCCAACTACTTAGCCTTTAAAGAAGGATGTTTCTCCATCTCCTTCTTCGTTTGCTGGAGTCTTATTTTGTTTCTTGTAGATGATTCTGTGGACTGATGATGTGAGTTCAGAAAAAGCATGAAATTGAATTCATAAATGGGTTCGGAAGGCATGTATGACTATCTCATAGCTGTTTTCCTTTGGAATTCTTCATCCACTTGTTCTCTCATATGGACAAGAGGAAGTGATTACCATTGGCAATTAAAGGTTTTTGAGCAAAACTAGTGCCACTGTCAGATCTTGGGCTTTGTCAGAGTGTAGTCTATTTGATGTGTAATTAATGTGATCGAGTAAATTGGGCTTGCTCTTCGATTTTCTTGTGTCTCATGGAAATTTTACCTACTTTCTGTATTGGTGAAATTGGATGTAAATCTTAAGAAGAGGTGGACTGAGGATAGAGCATACCATTGAAATTCCCTGTTTCCTCCTATTTTGTTGTGAATGGGTTTGACATGAATGACTATCCTAGCTATAAATACTTATAGATTTCTGATTCAACTGACATATGAAGTACTAATTGCTGCTCTGATGAAGACTTTTACATGCTCTGAAGATTCTTTTTTTGTTTTGTCATCTCTCAATGTAATTAAAGACCGTTTCTTGACAGAACTGCTCTTGTTGTTAATATTGCAGATTATAGCATCATATTTTCCCTTACCACAGTGTATTGAGGGTTTGAAAATTTTGGTTGAGTCACTCTTTGGTGTGACTTTTCACAGAGTACCCCTTGCACCTGGTGAATCATGGCATCCTGATGTGTTAAAGATAGTGCTACATCATCCGACTGAGGCAAGTCTAACATTCTAGAATGGCTATCTTGTTATATAGTAACATATGTCATCTTAACTATGAGATTACTGGAGATCCACCTTTCAAAGAAAATTCTTTTTCTTTTTCTTTACTTTTGCGTTTCCCTTTTGATTTGAAAATTTTGGTGTGGCAAAGGAGGAATTTCGTTCATAACAGTTATTTGCTAATGATACTTCTTTACTAACCAACCTATCACTACATTTGACATGTATCATTATCTTTGTTTCCGATATTGAACTTTGGATGGCAAAATGGACAAATGGTCTAAAATTGGGGGTGTTGGCAGATTTAATTTAACTTTGCCTTTCTTTGTCTGTCAAGTTGATCCATTATAATATTCTGATGTGCATTTGGCTCTTCCTTTAATGTCCATTTAGTGGTAGTCTTAACATCCATCCACTTGAACTAGTTTATATATGTGTTTGCAGGGAGACCTGGGTTACTTATACCTTGATTTAAAGTCAAGAAAAGGTAAACATCCCATTTGTGCTCATTTCGCTATCCGAGGAGGGCGTCGTGTTTCCGAGACAAAATACCAACTTCCTGTATGTAAGATCATAATTCTCTTTTTTCTTCATATCAGTTTTTCATATCATATGCTATGCATGTATTTTTATTATGTCTTTATTTAGCAACTGGAGTAATGTAAGTTTGAGGAAAACAGGACCACCAGGAAATGCTCTGTTGATCAGTCAATCCATATAACATTGTTAAATATACCTGTTTTAACTGGGTATGGTGCGGGCATTGGGACTTATCTTTCACAATACCCTGGGATAAAAATCATGTGTACCTGGACCTAGTAGCTTAAAACTGGTCAATTTTTGAAGGTCATCCAAAGAAGTTCGTTTATAGTTTATGCTGATAGACCCCAATTCTTTTCTTAAATTAAATGTCTTTTTCTACTTGCAAGTTGTAGATTCTCTGATTTCTTGTTAGTTATGCTATCTAGATGAGTTCTCAAAGGTCATCCGAGGAAGTTGTTTTTAGTTTATCCAATAGAAACTTGTCCTAGCTTAAACCCACCCCCCACCCCCCCCAAAAAAAATAAAAAAAAATACCTAAATCAAATGTTTGTTTGTACATGTAAGTTTGAGGCTTCTGTGGTCTCTGGGTAGTCATATTATCTAAATACATAATATCATGCTAGAGTCTACTTTAAGCTTACTGCTTCTGGATGATATGGATCATTGCAATATTTTTATTTTATTTTACCTAGTTATTGAGAAATTATCTGTGCATGTTAAACTCATAGGTTGTAGCACTGGTTTGCAATTTCTCTGGGTCGAGTTTGGCTCCTGTGAGGCTTAACCACTTTGAAGTAGAAACACTTTTCCATGAGTTTGGGCATGCTCTCCATTCATTGCTCTCAAGAACAGTACTAGTTTTGTTCTGCTTCTATTTGCTAGTGGTTTTTCACTTTCGCTTTGAAATATTCATCCAGTTCACTTGATGGCTGGCTACTTGTGCAGGAATATCAACACTTTTCGGGTACGAGAGTGGTTCTTGATTTTGCTGAAACACCGTCAAACCTATTTGAGTGAGAATAATTCTGACTCTTTGATCCATACTATTCATCAGTGATATGAAGACAAATGTTTGATGAACACTGCCCATTGGATTATCTGCTTTTTGTTTACCTTTTTGTTTATGGCACGAAATGGATTCTTTTGATCCTAGTTTGTTGTAAGCACCACTAGTATGCAATGTACATGCTATATATTCTATGTTCAGGGTGAATGCTTCATGCGCATGTTGATGCTGTCGTATCAGTTAGTAACTAGAGTACTGGCAATGTTGTTGATCCATAGGTCCTATGCATGGGATTATCGGGTGTTAGAGACATTTGCTAAGCACTACTCAACTGGTGATGTCATTCCCAAAAAACTCGTGGAATCAATGGTGGGAGCTAAGAAGATGTTTGCTGCAACTGAATTGCAACGCCAGGTATCTTTTGCAGGGGCCTTCCTTGTTAACTCTGTTTGTGAGCATTTCTTCAGTTCAATTTTTAGGAAACTTGGGTTAAGAGCTTTGACCTATGCAGCCTTTTCATTTTATCAGATCTTCTACGCATTAGTTGACCAAACACTTTTCGGAGAGCAGACGTCCACAGGGAGAGATACAATGGCGATTGTTGCAGATTTGAAAAGACAACATACAAGTTGGACACATGTGGAAGGAACACATTGGCATACCCGATTCAGTCACCTTACAAACTATGGTGCAGGTATCTGAATGATATAGTTAATGGACTCACGTTTGTGATAGTTTCCTCTATATGTGAGAGAAGAACATTGCACTGTTATTTATCTGATATACCATCTGCACACCTACTATTTGGCGATTTGGACATAGTTCAATAAATGCATGATTCATAGTAGGTGGTCCAATCAGGATTTGTTCTTTACCACCTTTAAACTTTGATCTCAAGTGTCTTTCTTGAAAAATGATTTTAGTATTAGATTAGTTAATTGTTAGATGTGCGATTCCTCCTTAATCTGTTGTGTGATTCTCAGAACTCGAAGGTAGTGGGAGACAGTAATGGGGCTAGTGGAAACTTTGGCAAGATGGTATGGTGGGTGTTAGTTTCCTTTTTCCCTTTTCTTCTTGGCGAGTACTTAGATATGTGTTTTCCTTTTTTTGGATGTCAATTGGTCATTCTTAGATTCTAAGAGACTTGTGCAATTATATCGAAAGTGGAGATTTGACTGATGTACCAAAATATTGAGATGCCACAAGAACTATAAATATAATTTGTTTAATTAGTCAAATGATGTATCATAAAGGTTTTTTATCCCCTTAAAGGGGATATTTGACGTAAAAATTCACTGCTTGATATGGTGTAACGGAGAATTGTGGAAATAGAAGATGCAAGAAAATGTACTCTATAACATCCAACCTTTCATCTTCAGGTTGTTCTAGTTGAGGAGTTCTATTCCTAAAGCTGTAAAATGCAGAAGGTTTTAGGTTATAGAGCAAATAGATAATGACGAGCTTGGAATGTAGAGCAACATTCGTCTGCGGTAGTTGTGAAGATTTTCTTTCTTCTTTGTTACTATTTGATTTATTCCTTTTTCTTATCTCTTTTTGATAAATATTGTTTTTTGGAATGTTTGGTTCTAAATCTTTGTATTATATCAATTATGGTGTAGCTTATATCCATTATGCATATTTTATTTTTCACTTCATTGCACTTACTAATAAAAATGTATAACATCTTTAACCTTGTGCAGGTTACTATAGCTACTTGTATGCAAAATGCTTTGCCACAACTATCTGGCAAAGGATATGCCAAGAGGATCCTTTATCATTGGACACGGGTTTGGCTTTAAGAACGAAATTCTTGCAGCATGGAGGAGCCAAAGATCCAGCTGATATACTGAATGATCTTGTGGGGAGTGGCATCATAAGGAATTGCAGCGGTGGAATAATACCGGACATTACAAGCCTTTGTGAGGAAATGGAGCTCATGAAACACTAGCAAAGGGAGTTCTAACCCCCAAAATAAGATAAAGTATCGCCTCCCCTGTACTAACCATGGTGAGGCAAAGTAGCTAGGGTGCAAATTGCAGGCCATCATAGAAGGGTTGGAGTGACTTGGAGTTGATTTAGGAAGAGGCTTCCCATCGTAATAGTAGTAACTATATGATGCTGGTCTGAAGAGATTTCATCACGGCCAAGCAAGCAAATTAAACAATTTGCAAGCATGTCATTCTTGAAGTTAGTGTTCAGAGGAAACATCTCATGGCCAGGCTATTTATTGAGCAATTCTCCAAAGAAACTAACTGTGCGTATTTTGACCATTCTTTGCTTAATTTGACAAGTGCATGTATTCCAATAAAACAGAAGAGACGTAATGATGCAAAGGAATTTATCAATGTGCAGCATGAATTTTGACCGAGGAAGTGGGATAGTACCAATATGTAAAAAGCATATTTGCAACAATAAAGGAGATGTGTATAGCTTATTACTCCTAAGATAAGCTATTACTAGACGTTAGTTGTAAATCAGGATATCCTTTTAATGCAAGTTTTTTTTCTTTTTCGATTAAGCAAATTCCAGATCAATTATTAAGTAATGGAAAAAGAAAGTAAAAGTAAATTATTGCATTTTCAAAAAAGAAATGAACCCCATCTAGACTCTATAGTAAATGGCAAGAACAAAACATAACTTGAAAGAACATTGTAAAAGATTTAGCTTGAAAACTCAAAATTCACAAATAACTTTTTCACTCATATCCTTATCGTGTAATTACCAACAAATAGATATTAATATATATATTTTCTTTTGTAAGGAAGGGGCAAAAATTATTCGAAGATAATACCAAGTTACAAAAAAGAAGAATAGAAAAAGAACCACTTTAACAAACTAAGCGTAAAATGGCGCTACTACTGAACTACTCACCACATACTAAGAAACCTCATCTTCTTCCCCTTTCCCATCCCACTCTCAGAAATTTCTCCATCAAATTCCAGGACCCTTCTTCTGATAAATCTACAGAGGACACGTCATCATCTACGGTGGTTCCACCTCCCAAGAAGCCCAGCTCCAGTTCCTTAGGTTTTGGCTCTTCGGTTTCCAGCCCAGTAACATCCAAGAAAAAACAAAAGGGAAAAGGAGAAAGGGCTTCAGTTATTCGAAGAGAACCCATTCAAAAGCCTAGGTTTGCTACCCAACCGGAGGAATCTGGTGGATCGAAGGGATTTCAGAAAAATGAGAGTGCTTTTCTTCTTGCTTGGTTAGGACTTGGTGCTATTATCCTTGTGGAGGGTATCCTTCTTGCTGCCTCAGGTAAACTTATAGCCCCACCCTTCATTTTATCTCAATTCCACCCTTTAATTGTATTTTATAATTTGTCACTTTTAACAACAACAACAAACCCCGCGAAATCCCACAAATGGGACTTGGGTGGGTAAAGTGTATTATGACGGTAAATAAGTTGTTTCTGAAAGACCCTCGGCTCAAGATAAGTAAAAATGAAGCAACAATAAGGTAATAAGACACGGGCGCAAATGGTGCAACGTGCAATAACAAAGATCTAAGAATAAGACACTATAAGAATAGAGTCAATCCTGCTGGAAATAATGACACACTGTGTAATAACAAGGGGCTAGGAATAGGAAAATACAAAACTAGTACTAATACTATTGGAAAGATTAGACGAAACTCTGGACTGCCTGTCAACCTAGAACCCTAATCTTGGACCTCCAGACCCTCCTTTTAACTTCATTCCAATTGCAGTACAATAAAGTAGCTTCATTTCTTCCAGTAAGTAAGTGTTTATCTGATTATTTGTCGCTATGCTTGAAAGTTGAAATGTATTGACTTAGGATTATACACACTCAATTACACTAGAATTTAGATGAAATCTCCTCATTATGTTGGGTTATATCATGAAAAATCCGTTCCCGTGTATAAAGATATTACTACTAAGACATGATCTTTTACTCTTGGATTAATTTTTTTTTTAATCAGTAATGCACATTACATTTGACAAAATTAGTGATATGCATAAGACCTTAGCAAAGTGTATCAGGCAGATGTGAAAGCACGTTTAAGTCAAGAAGAAAAATACTGATCGTAACAATTACATCACGGTCCTTAATTGAAAATGAACACCAGAAATACAGTAGTTATTATTGATGAGTAATACAAAGGATAACTTTCTTGTATTACACTAATAGGTTTTACAATCTAATGCAAAACTTACATGTAAATGCAATAAAGTATATTTTGAGATTTGATCTATAATAAGACACTATAGTTGTGAAAAATTAGTTCCAGACATGCTTAAGGCACGGTTAGAGGAAAGTGCAATTTGGAATACAAGCATATATAAGAAATAAATTACTTTATATTTGTTAAACAACATCAATTTAAAATAATTTGACAAATATATTGAAATTTGTACGTTGAATGAGTGTTTATCATATAGATCAAACTATCTAAGTTCCAACATCAACAACCACTCCATAGGGTTCAGCAAAGCGTGTATCTAGTAAGTATTAGACATTCGATGGATTTAAGGGGGGCCATATGGACCCTAAGGATTTTGAAATTCACCATTGTTTTCCCTTACAATTTACTAATTACTTGAGATATATCTTGCCCACCCCAAGATCATATTACAAAATATACACATCTCACTTCCAAAAACTGTCTCCCCCTCCACAAAGAAAACCCAGAGGTGGTGTTGATCCAGTGCAACAGTAAACAACAAGTCAACAAAGTAAGCTAATTTGTCAATGCATCATACACAAGCGATCAAGTGCTTGACATTTGAGCAATAAAGTGAAGATGGGACTTCACATAGTCATAAAACATGATTACCAGTGTCTAAGCATTACAATCATACAATTCTTAATATTTAATAGCTCAATCTTTCGTAAAAGAGCCAATTATAAAAGTTCTGACCATGTTCCAAAGCCTTTGTAGTAAATCTCCTGGTTCACAAATGGACACATGAATTACCTCATTTTCCTCTGATGAAAGTTGAGGGTATAAATTCCCCAAGTACCAAGAGAGTACATAGACAAAAGATCCCCTTGGTGACCTATCCAGGATTTGCCAGTGTGTTCTTGTCAATCAAGTGGAGGTCTCTATATACCAAAAAGTTTTCAAATAATACCATCTTCACTTGTGAAAGATTTTTATTTAGAATCGACCTTAAAACATGTGTAACACGATATTCACAAGATCAATTGTGCTTAACTAGTGCTAGGCTCGCTCCAAGTTCCAAAATTAAAAATCTCAATTTGGAATCTTTTTTTTTGTTTTGTTTATGATTGGTCTGCTCATTGCCAACTCTTTCTCCAATTCTCTGCAAAGCGGTGTTCGGTCAATAAAGCAGTATTCAGTCTCCATTCCTCAAGTTGCTGAGTGAGCTGCACGAATTCTGCAAAATGTTATTAGGACTAAAACATGGTTTTCCAGCTTGAAACTCTGAAATGCAACTTGCGTCAGATTAAAATTCCTAGAAAGGCAAAAAATTTAAAACTAGTATTCTAATGGTGTCCAATAGAGTGGTATGGGTGGCAGATTTAAGAAAATACAAATTGGTCTCTCACCAGTGCCTCTCTAGTACGCTATATGTTTTGATGTTGGACATGAAAACAGTTGAAATAGGTAGCATAGAGTTTGGTGTTCATGTTTCCTACAAGTTCTCCTTAATAGCATTGGTTTAGAACGACTTAGTTTTAGCGGACCAACACTTCCGACAATATGATGATGTTTGACGGCATTAAGTTAGGAAGCATGACTGAGCATTAGTACAGTCTATGATCATAATTTCTCACAGCTTCTTTTGCATCAATGGTTTAACATTTGTTCTTGTAACTAACAGATTGTGAGTAGATTACAGTTTTAGAACAACTTATTTAAAGTAGTTTGAAATGAATTATGTTGTCATGATACACATCATAAATCTTTCTCGCGTTAAATATCTCGATAGATAAAAATGTTTGGATTTGATAAATTAGTTTGACATAAGAGCTGAATGTTTAAGCAATGACTTTAGATATGTATATCTCCATATGGTAATTTTCTACCTCTTCTGTTGCATCTAGGCTTTTTACCGGAGGCATGGGACAATTTTTTTGTGAAGTATCTGTATCCATCCTTTACTCCAACAGTCTTCCTGTTTGTGGCTGGAACAGTTACCTATGGAGTGTTGAAGTACCTGCAGAACGAGAAATTTAATAGTGAAAACTGATACTATTTGCATGTTATATCGAGTATTTAGGTAAGTTTAGTTAGTTTGTTCAGTCTTGTAAACTACAAATGTGAGAAACTCTGACTATGGAATAGCAAGAAATACTTCTGGAAGTGGATTCCACCACAGGCTAATGTGTACTTCAATTTGTTATAAGTTGTCATAATTTGTTGGTGAAGTTAGCTTCTTATACTGTATTTACTTCATACAGATACATTTGCAATCTACTGTATTTGCAAGGGCATAGAGTATTCCTTTTTTTTCCAAGTTGCAAGTCGAAGTGTTTAGTTTCTCAGTTGTCCTTCCCAATTGTTCCTTTCTTTCTTCCTTTTTTCCCTTTTGGGCTTTGAATTTTTATAATTTGGAAGGTGGCAATGAGGATTGAGAAGACATTTAATACCTGAATTCAAATTCTAGCGAATCAATTGAAGTTTACTTTTGCCTCTATACTGTTACCATTGCTCAATGTCTTTGACATGGATTGATGTGTAAGTTATATAATATTGTAAGGCATTCGGTTCTCACCACTCATGTTCTTGGTTATTTTGAGTTCGTTCTTGAAGTTTTTGTCGATAATATGATGGGATACTTGAGATTTTTGGGATTCAAAATAGCCTCTGGCTCTGCTGCTTCTCATACTATTCTACAAAGGTTTGAAGCTGATAATGTTTTGTTGATTATGCTATCCAGATTGCTGAAACTTATCTCATTATAAAGCCCACACCATTTGAGATAGGTTCTGCTAGCTTCAATAAAAGATATCTGGTGTACAAATGGTGAATTGAATAACAGAAGCTTTTACAGTTCTACCATGGACCATGGTATCTTGAGTAGTTATACAAATAAATAACACGAAATATGCCCTAATGCCAAGTGCCTTTGAATCGGGTCTCTTGATAGGGGGCCAATTCAGCAAACTTTGAGCTTGGGTATCTTTTTTTCTATAGTTGTAAGTTCCTAGTGACGGGTAAATAATCTTCACTTAAGCATCTACTTTGACATGACATAAAAAGGAATAGCAGAAAAAATGCAAAGGTTGATGATCATTGTTTTGCTGGCAAGAGAAGAACTATTTCTCGCCTGAAGATATCACTTTGGACGCTTCACAAATGAGTTTAACTTTTATACATTGATGGCATAAAATAACTTTTACGCTATCAGATCACTTAAAATACATTAAGTACAAGCAAATGAAATAACTTTTACGCTAATAGTTTCTTCACGAATATATAAGTTAAATCCTTCACGAATGGAATAGGATCTGAAACTCATTGGACATGTCAGTATGTATAAGTTAAATACAGCATAGTGCAGCCAGAGTAAGAGCATTAAAATGTTTCGTATGCTAGAACTGAGTTTATACAGAGGCCAATTAAATAAGATGCTGGATATTGGTAATGCACTAATACTAGTTCGAGAAATTGTTTTATTAAGCTTTATATTGATATCTGCATCAAATGGTCCTTTTCTCTTACTGCTGGCTGCTGGCTGCTGGCTGCTGGCTGCTGGCTGCTGGCTGCTGGAGTCGCTCTATTGTGACATTTTTGTTTCAACAATGTGCAAGCTGGATACAGTAATAGCGAAATTTCGCTGATTTTCCATCTTGAGTCACAAGTAGTAAAGTACTGTTATTAGTATGTGGTGAAACTTTTGAGTGGTCACTAGTAATTCTTAATGCCAATTGTTTACTTTGATAGGGAATAATTCTTTCTGACATGCCATAGCCCTAGGCCTCGATCATTTTGGCGAAACAACCAATATTCATATTTGATAAGTATTTTAAAAAAAAAAAAACATTTGGAAAAATATACTATATGGTGAAATGCCAATAGTTTTTTGCCGCAGAGTTGCGCCAAGAACACAAGCATTCTTTTTAAATTGTTGGGTTTTAAATTAATAATTACTACATATTCTATAGATTTCTTAAGATAAATATAAGATTTGGACCAAAAAACCTCTGAATTCAGCCAAGACTGTAACACTTCTATTTAAGCACGTAATAATTTCTTTATAAAATTAGTATCAGCACATAATGCTTATTAGTTAGTTTCGGCTGTGCAAACTCGTGATCAAAGTTAGTAACTTGTTCCAAAGGCACAAGTTGTGCTAGGACTAAAGTTATAAGTGTTGTCATAACAACGTTGAGGCAAAGTGAGAGAGCCATGCAGCTAAGGGCTCCAAGTATGGTGCAACCGTTTTAAAGTTTTCAATATGCAGTAATAGAACTAGAGCAAGTAATTAAAGTTGAACAACATTGTGACTTCAACTTCCAATTGAATGCCATGTTTCAAGAATGGCAGCAACCATTATTGCCGCTATACATTATTCATTAGTCTCACAATATAATTTCCATCGGAGCCTCATCAATTTTCATGTTATGGTAAAGAAAGCTCATAAATTTATGATTCATCAACTTAAAGCTATTTTAAATCCACATTCATATCTGCAACTTGCTGATAGCTACCTACCTTTATTAGTCAGCCAGCCATTGCCTCTACTCATAATATTTCATCCACTCATTATAATGTCCATCTATGTTATTTATTGAATTAATGATCAAAATTAAGTTTAAGTTTATGGTGGTGGGAAATTCACAGTCTTATTCATATATAGTTCCAAAATTGTAGTAATACTTTCATTTGTAGACAGGAAATTTTTAGGACCAATAGCGATCGGGATCTGGTGCAGAGGTAGAAGCTTAGGTACGGGTTCGACTGAACCTAGTAACTTTGCTCAATAATGTATTTGTATGGAAAAATATTAAATATGTACACATTCAATTAGAATCTAGTTACTAACACTTGCAATTGTCATTTTAAAATTTAAAATTCAGAAAGTTGAAATCCTAGCTCCATCGCCTCTAAATCTAAAATTATCTATTAGCTAATACTAGATGCATAAAATCTTAGAAGTCGCTGTTCTTTTCTCAAGTTTGAATAAAATAAGAAGGTTGTACGTGACAATCTGTGTAAATAAGTTAACTTCTGATAAATCCTCGCTATATGTAATTATTAGGTATTGAATTAAGATGAGCAATAAGAATTTATATAACCAATTCCAACTTGTCAAGGATTAAAACGGAATTGATGTTTTTGTTATTGTTTTCTTTACCTGGCAACTTCACATGTCTTGACTTAAACGTCATTGCTTGATTCGCACAAAACTTCTCTTATTGTTTCTTTCTTTCTATTTATATTTTTAGTTGACAAGGAGAAAGGTTAACATAGGTCGGGCCAAGAAAAAGATTCAAGTACTCCATTTAGTAGGAATATAGAGAAATTTGGAATGTGCAAGTGGAGAGAAAGAGAGAAAAGAATGTGAAAGGTCTGGTATCCAACTTGCAAGAAAATGGTAAAAATGTCATATAAAACTGATCTAGCTGTAATCCAATCTAAATGAGAAGTACAAGCAAAATAGAGAGGATATGCCAAAGTAGATTGGATGGAACTTGACCATCAAGTATTTAAAGGCCAAAGATGATGAATTAATGTGGAAAACGCAATCATAATCAAGGATTAATTTACAAATATCGAGACACTTTGGACAAATATGTTCTTTTATTTTATCGCTTGCAAGTCAAAAAACAGGGCGCCGATATACTTTTTTGCTATTGACTTATGTCACTGCTCACAATCATGTTTTGTCAAATGTTTAATAAATTAAAATGAGTTGTGGCAGGGTCCCTGCTTTTGCTTTGTTTGTGGAATGAGTACCCTCTCTAGTCGAATGTTAGATTGAATCTTAGTATTTTGGGGCCAGCGTATTAGACTATTCTACGGGCAAAGAAATAGTCTACGAGGCTCTTCTAGCTGGCAGATTGACCTGAAACATAGAACCAACAATCCAACTCAAAAACTTTAAATTTCAGCTCTATATTTGCGCGAACAATAATATGGTGGAGTCTGAGATTTGGCCTTCCACAATATTCACTTGGCCAGAGCGGAGATGTAGGGTGGAACTATTGCTAAAAGGGTTTAATTTATGTGCACCAATAGAGTACAAAACTAATATACCATCAAATTAAAACAGGAGCAACTCAATTGAATTGGTGCTCTAAAATTAAATCTTAATAAGAGGCATAAATATATTTCATAAATAAAATTCAAATATATTGTTATTTGAAGTGAAAGTCTGAAAAATGTCAGAGAAAGAATGAAAAAGTATGCGCTATCTGAATTATTCAATGATTCTTATATTTGGCAGATTATGTGGATGAGTATGAGGAATGGAAAGAACCTTGTTTTTGTATACGGTAAAATTGGTTAGTAATAGTTGAATGAATGAAGAGATGACACGTGGAATTGAAAACTGGTAGGGTGTGAGTCAGCAAATAGTCGATATCGGTTGTAAGCATGTGATCGGTGTTGGATGAATCTCGAAGACAGAGTAGCCGGTGACAAAGGTTCAAAGTATTGATATCGGGTAGCATTCACTGAGTGGCTGTTACAGAGAATAGCTGCATTTATAACCAATCGTTATGCAGTCATCAATGACGGTTTTATTCTCATTCAAGAGAAGCTTGATTTGGGAATCTTGTCTCCCTAAATAGATCTATAAATAGGAGAATTAACATCCATTGTAGATACGAAACATTCTGTACACAAAAGTTATAATATGTCCTCATTCTATAGAACTGCTTTCTTTATTCTTAATTTTGGTCTTGTCACTACTATCGTAGAAGCTAAACACCTAGTCAGGCTTGTATTACCTTTAATTTTATTTCATAATCTTATTTCTGTTCTTATTCATTTCGTATTTTTGGGTCAAATCGATTCACTTATCTATAAAACACGTTACAAATTCAACTGTACAGTTTTACGGGTAATAGCTTGGCGCCCACCATGGGGCATAGACTATTGTGTAATTGCTTTGATCCATTCATCTGTTACTAACAAATTTTGATTCTTTCCTCGGTAAAAGAAAAATCAAGTATGACAGCTAATGATATCAACAATGTCTACATTGTTGAGCACACAATAAACGGGGAGATGTGTTCCAGCGTGATGATTCAACCAGTGAAACCTGATCAGTTCGCGAAGGCCAGACTATGTGAGAGGCCGACTTCTAATGATGCAGATGATGAACACGTTGTTGAAACGGTCAAAATCTTGAGAAAACAAAAAAAAAGTGATTAAGGATCACCTCTCAAGGCAAGATCATGTGATGACAGAATTGAAGCAGGCATTGTCGGGCACTTCCAATAATGCTAATGGAAGGTCTCTGATTCCTCCATCGTTCCCCCAAATCAAACGGTTCAAAGAACCGACAACGACACTCCAAGGGAGGAGATCGA